CGCAGCCGTAACCACTTTGATTAATTTCTTCTATTATGTGAAAGATACATGCTGATTATTGTAAATGATCGAGCAATATGTAAAAAGACAGAGTAAAAATGAAAAGACTTTGTCTCCTTTCCCCAATCTGAGTCACTGTTAAAAATTTTTCTCTAGCCATCAAGATTTTCTCTGCTTTTGAAAAAGTTTCTCTTTCCCTCGTCTCATCTATCTACCTGACTGTACTAAATACACTACACTCTAACCTACTTTTGGTATTTACCAATATGTCATGAACAGATTTCCGTATCTGCTGTGGCTCAGTATTTTTGATAGCTACCTGATGTCCACCATGCAAAGACCTGTCTTTATGTCAAACTAGAATCCACCAGGTCAAAGAAAGTATTGCCCATTTCTAACATATTTCACTTAAGCTTCACTGGGGTCTGCTGCTGTCACATTAAAAGAATTTGGATTTCATACCCCATTCAAGAGGGTTTGGTTACCATCACGAGCTCCTTCTCAAGAGCTCATTTATTAGCGGTCAGAACATAAAACCCTGGACAGTATTTTAGCAAAACCTATGTGATTCTGTTTCCGAATCCATAAATATCATAATTTATTTTTTTAAGTTTATTCATTTATTTTGAGTGAGAGAGAATATGAGCAGGGGAGGGGCAGAGAGAGAGGGAGAGAGAGAATCCCAAGCAGACTCTGAACCATCAGCACAGAGACCAATGTGGGAGTCGAATTCACAAACTCTGAGACCATGACCCTGAGCCGAAATCAGGAGTCAGACGTTTAAGCGACTGAGCCGCTCAGGAGTTAAATCTGAGTTTTCGTCTATTTGCCCTCCCAAGACTAAATGCCTGGGGTGCAGATACAGTTACCTGCTGTCAATATTTCCCCCCTGTCTCTCACAGGAGTTGACACCTGCCATATGTTTGATACGTGAATTATTTAATGAAGGGCAGGTAAACAAGCTAATGGGAGGCATTGGTGGAAAGTGTGAAAATTAGATAAAACTAAAGATTTTATATGATAAAATACACTAAAACCTTCTTCGCAAATATTTACCTGTAATCCAATGGCATTTGTTCATCTCCAACATCAAAATTCTCCTGGCACTTCTGAGAGAAATGTACCGAAATCTACACTTGGAATGAGTTCACTCAGCGTTAACTAAGTTAAACGAACAAAACTCCGGAAATCTCAACAATCTCCGCAGCTTATTCTCGGTGGCCCACACAAACATATGCTGCCTTTTTTTCCCCAAAGACGTTGATCTGAGCATCTATAATTAGAGCTTCGGTGCTGATAACACATCAGGCTTCCTAACGCAGGATGCCCCCAAGGTGGGGCAAACAGCAGACAGGCTCAGTTGACATTTCAGATGCCTAAATTGCCTTTTTCAATACCTACGGCATGTTGAAACCCTCTAATTTTCTCCCTCTGGCAACCTGCAATTTTTCATTTGCTTTTATTTACTCGGGAACCCCAGCAAAAGGGGACTCAGCACCATGCCCGTAGCCGGTTAGCTGTCACCGGGCTTTCTCATGCGCACTCCTCCTGCGCCTGCCCTTTATCTGAGGCTCGCAGCCCTGCCTCACGGTAGAGAAACGCTACATACGTGCACTGAGTGCGAAGTTGATGCAGCGTTTCCCTCTATCTTATCGCTTTAATCCTCTCCTTTCTTTTTTTCCTTCTGATTCCACCATTTCTAAATCTTTATACTCTGTGACCTGGGCCTCAAATAACTAACTTCATATTAGCCAAAGAGATCCTCACGTCCTTGGAGCCCAGGCATGCATGCATGCGTGCATTCGTTCATTCATGGATAATGGATTGAGTATTTCCTATACATCACACGCCAAGGACATGAAAGTGTCTAAGACAGTCACAGGTTTTGAAAATGCAGGCTAGCAGAGAGAAAAGGCATATCATCCATTAATGAGAACCCATCGTGACAAGATCGCTAGGAGCCAGGACGGTGCGCTAGGAGATCTTCGATAAAAGGGTAATTAAGTCTGATCAGGAGGGTGGACAAAGATGTCAGAATGTTCTCCCCAGGCAGGCGTGGCCTCCTTATCTTTCTCTTTCACTGTTTTCTGCTTACCCGTATTCTGGGTCTTCTCCAATTGGTGTTTGTTTTTTCTCTCTCCCTCAGAAAACTAAACTCCATATGGGCACAGAATGTGTTCTGAACCTTCACACCCCTAATACCTATCACAGCATCAGTTATTAATTAAGTAGTTAACGCATCAACTTTCCTACTCAACAAACCTGCTGAGCGTCCTCTGCGTGCTGGGCACCCCCCAGGCCCGGCAGATAAAATAGGCTGAGGAGAATATGCCCAGTGCCTGCTCTCAGGGAGCACACAGTCTAATAAACAGAACATAATCGTCGCGTCCGTAGTCTGTTTGGTGGCACCAGAAAGAAACCAGCAGCCAGCTGAAAGTCAAGTTGGTCGTGGAGTCATGACACCAGGCTGTTACATCCTCCAGGGCAAGCCAGGGGAGCCTGTTGTGTTAGAGGACTTCTGAATAGAGACCCAAGCAAATGAAGGCATGGGCTGCGTGGACACCTGCGGAGCAATGTTCCAGGTGGAAAGGACTGGGGCGGGGAGCACCTGTGAACATGGTGGGCACAGCAAGGAGCCACGAGAACAAGAGGGGAGTAGCTGGGGCGGGGCCACAGCGGAGCAGGTCACGGGATGGCTCTATGTAGGACTTTGGGTTTTTCTTGGAACGGGAAGGAAAGCGTCTGGGATATTCGGATGGATGAGTGACGCTGATTGGGCTTCTGTGTGGGAACGGACTTCAGGGTAGGCGAGGAGGGTTGGGGAGAGGAGAGATGATGCTCCCTACCCAGGGAAGGGATGATGGTTTAAGAGAGGGTGGCCATGGTCCGGGGGAAGGGAGACAATGGCATCTGGCTGTGTGTCAGATGTCCAGAAAGCAACCGCTGATTTGCCGAAGGCTAGGATGCACTTTCATGGGCTCGTTACCCTCAAGTGCATAACATATATAAAGAAGTGGCTATTTCTTTCTCTCTCTCACAAAGACACACACTCAGTAATAATGCATTCTTGGCAATATTAACAATGCATTGATGTGATTTGTTCGCAGAACAGGTCTTCCAGCACTCGGATTAGAATAACGGTGTGTTCTCTGAAAACTTAAACCAACAGCTTGCAGGTGTCATTGGAAAACACATGACAAGAATGTTGTATTTGTCCTCAGAGGCCAGAGGGGAAGCTCTGTACTGTCTGCTACTATGTGACCCTGGCCAGAGTGTTTCATTCTCCTGTTTTCTCATTTCAACTAGGAAGGTAATAGAGGCATATTCCCAACCACACTGAGAATGAAAAATTAATTCATATGAAAATGCATCATAAATAATACAATATAATGTATATGTTGATCAATATCTAACATATCAGAGGCACGTCATGGCTTAAAAGTTATTTTTGTATCTATTTGATCATCACGATGCACGCAGCGGTAGGTACACATCACAACAAATACTCTGAGCACAAGAGCCCAGATAATATGCCCATTTCACAGATGGGAAAAATGAGTCTCCGTGACGTCGGCATCTCCTCAAATTTAATAAAAGGAGTAAGTGTACATGCAGTTACATAGGAGAGGAAAAGACCAGAAGCATCTGGCCTGGGATCTAACCCTCTCCCGATCATCTTTTGATGGGGGACATAGAGACAGGGGTAGACACTCCCAAGGAAAGAGCGTAGAGCCTGGCCTGGTCTCTTTTGAACATGCTGATCACTGCACCTCCTGGTAGAGAGATAATCGTATCGGCCAAGGGGAGGATGCTTGTCTACAGAAAGCTGTTAGCAGCACCTCCCTGGCCTAGGATTATCATCACCATCAGACCCGGGACCCAGGGATTAATGAGGCAGGGCCCCACAGAAACATCACGCAAGCCACGTAATGATCTGAGTGTAAAATGGAGAGATTTCAAGACCAAAACACTGCAGAGAAGGAAAAAGTAATCTAGACATCTGTCTCAACCAACGCTGGAGAGAAACAGTTTACATTTCTTCTACAGACTGTCACCTATCAACAGTCTGAGTTATTTTTCCATGCTGCTGAGTGCATAAGAGGGTTGTCTGTATCCCAGATATCCTGAGTCTTCTGTGGGTACAAGTTTCTCTTCTATGCACCGGTTCTCAACCTAGGCTGTAAATTAGAATCAGCCGGGGGAGCTCAGAATGGCTACATCCCAGAAAAATTAAGTCAGAATCTCCAGGCATGGGGCTACGGTTGGGAGGCGGGAGTCGGTCTTTTACAGCTCCCGGGTGATTCTAACGTGCAGTCAAGGCTGAGAACCCGTGCCGAGTCCTGAAGCTTCCGGCTGTTTGATGTATCGCCTTCTTTCACATAGTTCACAGTACCGGGAAGAAACACAGCTGAACTCTGACCTTGGTAGATGATCCTAAGTGAGGTTTTTCACATTATGTCAATTTTGATATTTTCCAAAATGAAGTCTTGAAGACCAGTAAATTGAAACCTTTCACTTAATTTTCACCTGAATCAGTAACAATTTCTTGCACAGGAACCTAATATTCTTGTGTTCGTGCAATTATTTATTTGTTGATTGACTTATTCACTGCTTGGTCCCCCAAAGAATGTAGGTAAGCTTTATTCACATTTATGTGAACCTGGTCACCAGCAGAGTATCGAGAAAGTTCACGGCAGCAATAAAAGCAACTTGTAGAAGCAAGAGAATGATTGCCTAGGAGTCTCCAATGGATACAATACCATCTACTTTTTCTACAGCATCTTCTTGAGGGCAGGAGTTCTGACTCCATGTATCAAAGACTAATTACAAACGTCAGTGCAGAAGTAAACACTGCAGGTCAATATCTGAGCCTGATCATTTGGAAACATCATGTGTTGACCAGCCTCTGGCACGTGTACATTTGGCAACTGAGTTTGGAACCCAGGACTGATTCTCCCCCCTGCATCCCCCCAGGCCTGCCCAGGCCATACGGTTCTCACCAGATGGAGCAGGGACCCTCCTGAGGAAACGGGGGTGTGCGGATCCGCGCCCTCCTTCAGGAGCCGGAGCGCTGCAGGACGGAAAGAGGAGAAGGCGGTTAGAGCACGTCTTTTATCCACCCCGTGAATACAAAACCTGTAGCGGTTCATTCAGCTCTAAACTGCAAACAGCCACAAAAGCGAAAGACACATTGATCGCCATCTGACCTCAACTCCGTGTATGTAGGGCTGAGGGCATCTATCTGCACATTCAAACTTAATCCTCTATTTGTCCGTATAATTTCCTATCACAGCTGTGCAAATTATTCAGAAAAAGGAACACTTTAAAAAAAAATCGTATTTACTTCAATTCAAGTTAGTCAACATACAGAGTAGTCTTGGTTTCAGGAGCAGAACCCCGTGATTCATCACTTCCATACGACACCCAGGGCTCATGCCAACAGGTGCCCTCCTCAGGGCCCATCACCCATCTAGCCCACCCCCCCCACCCCTTCCAGCAACCCTCAGTTTGTTCTCTGTGTTTAAGAGTCTCTTATGGTTTGCCTCCTTCTCTGTTTTTATCTTATTTTTTCCTTTCCTTCCCTTCCCCTACATTCATCTGTCGTGTTGCTTAAATTCCACATATGAGTGAAATCACGTGATATTTATCTTTCTCTGACTGACATTTCATTCAGCACAATACATTCGAGTTCCATCCATGTTGTTGCAAATGGCAAGATTTCATTCTTTTCGATCGCCGAGTAATAATACTCCATTGCATATATATATACCACATCTTCTTTACGTATTCACCAGGGGATGGACATCTGGGCTCTTTCCGTACTTTGGCTATTGTTGATAGTGCTGCTATGAACATTGGGGTACATGTGCCTCTTTGAATCAACACTCCTGTATCCTTTGGATAAATACCTAGTAGTGCAACTGCTGGGTCATACGGTAGTTCTATTTTTAATTTTTTGAGGAACCTCCATACTGTTTTCCAGAAAGAGGAAAACACTTTTGCATTTTATTGTTTCAAAGTGTCCAGTCTGGATACCCTCTGTAGGGCCAAATAATAAAAAGAAATTACTTCACTAGGCTCATGTAGGCACTGGTTCAGTTAACTTTATTTTTTAATCTCGTTAGGACACACTGGTTTAAAACAAAGTTCATACTTTGCATGTTAAACCTCCTTTCATGTGACAGTAGTCTACCCATCATTCCAAGAAGCACTATGGGACAAGGCCATTTCTATCTAAATTACTAATGCCGGGGGTGCCTGGGTGGCTCAGTCAGTTAAGCGTCCGGCTTCGGCTCAGGACATGATCTTGTGGTCTGTGGGTTCGAGCCCCACGTCGGGCTCTGTGCTGACAGCTCGGAGCCTGGAGCCTGCTTTGGATTCTGTGTCTCCCTCTCTCTCTGCCTCTCCCCTGCTCGCACTCTGTCTGTCTCTCTCTCTCTCTCAAAAATAAAACATTAAAAAAATTAAAAAAGAATAATGCCAAATAGGTCAAAACATATACCAATTATCACACTAAATGCACAGTTGGAAGGTGACCTGTGTTTCCATTTAACAGCAAAGGTGAATTCATTAGTACAAGGAACGCCCCGGGGAATAAGGAGACCTCTGCTTTTTCCACTGGCTCCAGGGCCAGCCTCGCAGAAAGGTTCATCAGCTCCCCAAAGCACTCTCCTGGTTTCCACAGTTAACAGCAGTATCACAGTCTCAATAAAAAGCCATTAGTGCATTTTCCACAAAAACTATAATTAAAGCAACAGTGACTCTTTTTTTCTATTGTAACATAGAACTGAATGAAATGGCTCAGATTCAAACTCGTGCCTCACTGAACACACTCTCTTTCCATGAAGGTTCTTGGCAGTCTGGAGTGCTACCTGCATGTACCTTCTTTGCTATGGCACCCCAATTCTTTTATGTGCTTCAATCCCCAGTGTGTCCCCATCTTCCCCAAAGCTAACTGCACGTCAGAAGGGGCGCCACGGGTCCTGGCGGACACGGCTACTCCGGCAGTCCCCTCTCCAGAAAGGCCATCCCTTTGATGGTATGTGCACTGGAGGTGAACAGGGAAGCAGAACAGCCTGTCCAAAATGAGGGTAAGGTGGTGACAGCAGAGGCCATCCACACCCAGCCCCGCGTGCCCTCCAGACAGCCCTTCCTGAAATCAGAGTGCCTTTGTCCAAATGTCTCTTCCCAGGGAACTCAGACACATTCCTGTGCTCGGTCCACAGCGGTCACATGTGGCTTCTTGGATCTGTACCCGCTCACACCCGTCCGCACCCTGAGAGCATCCTTAGTAGGAGAGGATCCACACCTGTTCATCTTCCAAATGGCTTCCTCTTGGGATGCTCTTTCTCCAGTGAAGAATTTAATTCTCCTCGTAAGACAAATTCTCCAAATGTGGGTAGTTTGTTACAACACAACTTGCCCAAGATGGCTGTCTCACGGGATCGAGAGTAACCTGACAGCACGTGGGGCATCCATTTACTGCCTTGGGCATCCTGCCCCTCGGCCATCAGGACAACATCTAGGAAGGCATTGCCTTTCCTGTCCTCTCTGTATTTCTAGGAGCGGCCCTGCCTGGCACAACAGATGCCCTTTTGCCCCCCTGTTCCTGGCTCTCTCTGTGCACACGAATTGTAAACGGACACACTTTCACATCTTCTTACCCTTAATTTTTAAGTATTTTTAAATGTTTATTTACTTTTGAGAAAGAGAGAGAGAGAGAGAATGAATGAATGAATGAATGGATGAACAGGGGAGAGGCAGAGAGAGAGGATCCCAAGCAGGCTCTGTTCTGTACCATCAGCACAGAGCCCGATGTTCCTTGAACTCAGGAATCGTGAGATCATGACCTGAGCCGAAATCAAGGGTCAGACACTTAACCGACGGAGCCACCCCAGCGCCCCTTCTTACCCTTAATTTTGAAAAGTCCATTGCCGACAACAGAAAGTGAATTCAACATGTGTATCAATGCTTTCTTCAGAAGATGAATAGCACTTTTCCCCGAATGTTTATTTTTTTAACAAATGTACGTATTCATCTTGAATTAACTAATATCTATAGAGTGCTTTTACAGCTTCTACAGCCAAGCTCTTGAACTACAAATACAGTAGGAGGCAGATTATATCACTTATGACATGTGTAAAACGCCATCAGATTTCTTGAATCGAATCCACCTTGCACATGTGTAGTGAGTTACACATAATAGGAGCCGGTGACACCCTGGCCTTGGGGTTCCACAGACTTGGCTCTGGGGCCTGGCCCCAATGGGAGAGCGACTGAATCCTCTGTGCCTCCATGTCCTGTCAGATCAAAATAACGGACAGTCACTGGACTCAGGTCATGGGGGCCCTGAGAGAACAGAAAGGGGACGACAGTACGGCATATTCATTGTGCCCCCGGCACTGGGTACCGATCTCCAAAGGATTCCTATTAGTATAATTATTCTAAGTCACAAAACCCCATAATAACAGACTTTAGAATCCATAACTTAAGGTTTGTTCTCAATTTTCTCAAAACCTTCTGATTTTTAAACGTCGAATGTAAGCGTAGGACATAAAGAACCCCAACCTTGCAGCATTCACCCAGAGGATGCGTGTGTGATGTGCCAACCATGAAAGGGTTGAAAAGGATAAGGCAGGAGACCCTACAGGATTCGGACACCAGTTTGTGGGCAACAAAGTAGATGACAGGGTTTCAAGCAAAGGATTTGAAAAGATTCATGAGCTAAGCATAATATGGGCTGAATGTGTGTGTGCTTCCCGAATTCCTGTGTTGAAGCCTCAGCCCCCAAGGTGACCAGATCAGGAAGGGTGCTGCCAGGGGCTGATTATATGGGAATGAGGGAGATAATGAGGACCGAGACCTCCTGGTGGGATTAGTGCCCTTATTCGGGTACGAAGAGACCACAGCTCACCCTCTCTGTCCTGTGGGGACACAGTGAGAAGGAGGCCATCCATAAATGAGGAAGCAGCCCTCAGCAGTGGCCACATCTGCTGGCACCTTGATCTTGGACTTTCTGGCCTCCAGAACCGCGAGGAATAAGTGTCTGTTGTTTAAGGCCCTGGTCTACAGCATGTCTGTTACAGCGGCTGCTGGAGGGAAACACAAAGGCCTGAAGGGGTCTCTTGCTCCCACCCTCTGTGTAAGTACTGAATGCAGGGTGCCTAAGTGGCTCAGTCGGTTAAGCATCCTACTTCGGCTCAGGTCATGATGTCATGGTTCATGAGTTCAAGCCCCACATCGGGCTCTGTGCTGTCAGCGCAGCGCCAGCTTCAGATCCTGTGACCCACCCCCCTCCCGCCCCACTCAAACTCACACTTTCTCTCTCGCTCCTTCTCTCTCTCAAAAATAACCATTTAAAAAAATAGATGAATTCTGAAAGCGGATTCACGATAAGGCAGTGGGGTGGCAGTCACAGCAGTGAGCGTGCACAGCTTTGTTGTGGAAGATAGAGAACACACTAGGCAGGCGGGGACACAGCGGGAGTCTGAGCTACATGGCATGGGGGGGGGGGTCTATGGAGCACTGACACCACAACCAGGGAGAGCAGTCTGTAGAGTGCAGAACATGGATGAGTAACCAAGAGGCAGGGGAAGCCGCACCGGCGTACTGGGATGGATGGGGATGGAGATCTGGGTGGATGCAGGGATGGAGGGAGGGAGGGAGGGAGGAATGGGTGGGTGGAGGGAGGGATGGATGGATGGATGGATGCAGGGATGCAGGGATGGATGGATGAAGGGAGGGAAGGATGGGTAGAGTGATGGAGGGAGGGATGGAGGGAGGGAAGGAGGGATGGAAAGCTGGACAGACAGATATGCCTTTATGTGTTTACTACACATTTTACTGATACAAAGGCTGTGAAACCCACAACTTAGAAATAACTAAATATACAACGCTGAATGTTGTAAATGCCATATAGCCAATTGATCTCACAGAATAATTTTCATGCTTTTTGTTGAACTGTTATATCCACAGCCAGTCTGTGGCTATAATTAGTGCATATGACCTTGACATTTGGGTAGATATTCTCACTGACACTGGTGAGTAGAGCTGGGGGTGGGGGGGTTGTAA